ATTTTGAGTCAAGGAGATTGTGTTCAGAGATCCCGAATTTTTTTAAATACCTTTCTCAAAATGTAAAAAAAACCCTGTGTTTTTTTCCAATTAAAATTTTGGTAAATTTTCTATTCAGGGCCAGAAACAGAATGTCTCCATACCGAGTCTGGGGCTCCATATTAGACGGGGCCATCGAGTTCGAGTCCCTGACCACCGACACTCTCAAAGGAGCTCTGAACGTCATAAGGGAGAGCTTCTTTGTCAGCGAAAGTGTATGCAGGGGCGTAGACTTGCTCTCAGAACCTGGTGCAGCAGAGGAGCTCGAGAAGCTCTGTTTAGATGCTGCTAAGGATGGTGTCAGCGTGGTAGCCATTGACGTGAACAGCGGAGAGGTCGTTGGAGTTGCTTTCAACAAAATCCAAGTAGAGTAATCCACCTGTTACAACTCCGAATGAAACAATTTGAAGAAAAATCGAATTTAGAAACTGTCATCTAGCCCTATTATTTTTCAGGTGTTGAAAAATTCAACAGAGGAGAGTGCATTCGAAATCTTCAGCAAAAACTGCAAACACAAGTCATCGAAAGCCCTGGTGGACTTTATGATCAATGTAGACGCCAGGATAAACCTGTTCAAACACTACAACACCGACTGCATCTTCGAAATCATGTTCCTGGCCACTCTACCTGACAATCAGAAGCGCAGAATAGGAGAACTGTTAGTGTCCTCGTCCATGGAAGTCATCCAGGAGTTGAAGAGAAAGGGATACACCGTGAAAATACCTGTCACCATAAACGGCGACAACACCATACAGAATTTAGAAGCAATTCCAAGTCTGGTGTCTGCGATCATGACGTCGAATTATTCACAGAAAATCGCGGAAAAGTGTGGTTTCGAAAGCCTGGCCAGTGTCACTTACGACGAATTCAACTTCAACGGGAAGACGTTCAGCGAGAGGATAGGAGAGGAGCATCAGAACTGTGTACTGGTAGCCAAAAGACTGCTCTGAAGTGATTAATTTATTCTTATATATGTATCGTTAGGAGTTGTGTTATCAAAGATATTTATACTCGATATTCTACCAAGCTCTGATATTCGTTTCCTATTTATTTAATACCGCGTGACCTTACATTATCAGACCGAAGCTGATTCACCGCACTTGTGATAAGACAGCAGTACGACACATGTGCTTCTATTAGACACATTGGAGAAGACTGTTTTTTCAGCGAGTTGTAACGTTGTACACAAGCTGTTCTCTGTAATAAAGTAATCATTAATTTTCAAATCTCTCTTCTGCTACCTCCAAATTCTTTTCAGACACTGGCTGACAGTGTTTAGACATGCAGATAAGAGGATACTATCCTCTGCAGATAACAGGAATGTTTTTAAGGCATGTGGATTAATTGGCGTAGAGGTTCTGTTTATCAAGACAGTAAAGTTGCACCGACACACATGCTTTAGCATATGTGTGTGCATAGTACGCAATAGCTAGCTGGTGTCTAGTTTGATCGTGGCAGCGCGTCTGCACAGACAGACACTCTCTTCAAAGGCTTCCTCTCGGTGGTTCCAGCACGTGACACCCCTTATCTTCCCCTTCAACAACCAGAGGTGATCACCAGCGAACGATCCACAGTAACCATAAACCCTCTGAAACGCAATAAAGCCTAACTTTCCACTATCTTATCTCCCCAGCGATGTCGTTGACCCCCGATGACCAGTTGGACTACAAACTGCTCACACAAGAGAAGATCCAGGAGGCTCTTGACCTCCAGGCTGAAACGATGCTGCAGGAGAACCTGGCAATAGGTTTGGGGATGTTTGAAGAGGCTGGAGCACCAGAAGAGATGAGACTGGTGTTCAAAGAGGTGATCAAGGACGGTGCAACACTGATCGCAGTTGACAGAAAGACCAACGAGCTGGCTGCAGTGGCCTTCAACATTATCCATGCAAGTTTCCAATTTCACATCCTGCCTAGCTCTCCCCTCATGTAGGAATTTACTATTATTTCCTTCCCGACATTCGTCACACGATCATCAACTCTTTCTCCGGGGCCTTTAATGGATCACTTGTGTGTGTCTCTCCCTGAAGGCTAGACCCAAGCCTGGAGAGGAGGACAAGATGGAGGTGTTCGTGGAGGAGAACCTGAGGCACAGGTCTACCAGGCAGCTGGTCAAGTTCGTCGGTGACGTGAGTGTTTCTCGGTTATTGGCTGAATTGCTTTCAATTTAGACGGTGGATCTCTAATTAGAGGCTCGTCAGATCTACGTACACAGCTTGGCTTAATTACAAACGTCACACTTTTTCGAATCGTCGTAGAGTAGAACGGCTGATGTTGATTCTAACGGTTTCAATCGCAGATCGAGAGCAGCGTGGACATTTTCGACACGTACAACGTTCACGGAGTGATGGAACTGTTCTATCTTGGCACCAATCCACGTTATCAGGGCCGCGGAATAGGCTTGAAAATGGTGCAGAAGTGCATCGAGCTCGGTCGAGGATTGCTGAGTGGATCGATGAGGAGATATTCGTTCGGCGATGATCCTGTGGAGCAGCACACGCGTCCTGAGCTGATTTACGGCGTGTTCACGTCCAATTACAGCCAACGAATCGCGGACACGCTGGGCCTCGAACCTCTGAACGAGGTTCGATACGAAGATTTCACTTTTGCTGGCAAAAAAATGTCTGAGAGGATCGGTGCTTTTCACAAGACGGCCAGGTTGCAGATTCTCAAGTTCTGAGCTAGCTAGAAGGCCCGATCGATGGCTGTACTAGAGGATTTTCATTTTCTGTAAAAATTAAATTGCTTCAGAAGTACAGAACTAAAGAAACGAAAAAAAGTAGTTAGTGGATGGTACTTATGAGAGGCAGAATTAATTTAGAGATAGAGAGAGAGGAATTGGTGTTATTAAGGTTAGAGTACCTGGAAAGGGTCTTGATCTACGATCTTTTCACGTGAAACTGTGTATGGCTTAACAGGTCCATAATAAATGTTCCAAATGAACGTTTCAGTTAGTCGTTTTTGAGAGGCATCT